TAAATATGACCATTAGCAATAAAGATTCTGCCCATTTTGTCCAATTATCCTTGCAGGTAAAATCACCCTGCACTGTACCTCAATAAGCACAAAAGGAATATTTCTGTGACTTTGTATAAAGGTGTGGTCTAAATAAGGTAAGGGAGGGGGTAAACCACAGGTGTGGCCTAATAAGGTAAGGGAGGGGGGTTTAGTTTATTTAGGCCACAGGTGTGGCCTAAATAAGGTAAGGGAGGGGGGTTTAGCTTATTTAGGCCATATGTGGCCTAAATAAGGTCACCCAAAAATAAAAGAGAAACAGCAAATATACAAATTATGTAATGTACTTATATTTATATTCTTCACATGAAAATAACAAATCAACTTGGTGTCAACAAGTGAGGAGACGAGGAGAAGCGAGAGTTAGAATAATCTTTCTTTCAAAAAGTAAAGAGGCTCAATTCCTTTTTTTTCTATATTTATTTCCCGGATTTCTTTCCCCTCTTTTATTCCTCAGCGGTGGGGGGGGGGGGGGGGTTGTTTGAAAAAAGCTAAAATCGCGGCCGCGACAAACGCAGATGCTAGTGCTAGCTTGTTGTTGTGCACAACACATGCCTAAGTCATTCCCCTGCGTGGTGCTTTTATTACAGTCGACTCCACTTATGTTGAACTCGCTTGAGTTGATCTTCGGAAGTCGACCTTTTTCTCGCGTCCCAGTTAGTACCTCTTCGGTCTTCTATACAGTCAGAACGGTGTAATTGAACTTCGGATGAGTTGGGGAGGGAGGGGGTTCCACTCCCCCAACAACATCAACGTATCCGTAGCCACCTGTACTCGGTACTCTTTTCGATAATTATTTCCATACATCATTATTTGTTGTTGTCTTCTTCTCCCTCTCGCTCCCCTCTCCCCCCAAAAATCCGATCCAGGAGAACGGAGAAGTAATGTGTACCACTTTAGATCTTCAGGATAAGTTGAGTTGCTTCCCTTTAAGGTCAAGTTTACCTGACTCATCACTGCGCGCCACAAACTGGCGCAGCTCTCTGGTTCCTGACAAAAGTAACAAAACACTAGGGAGTTTTAATACATTTCTCATTTTATTTCAAAACAGTAGCATCCACTCACAAAGCAAAAGCAGTCGACAGAAGAAAAAACAATTTCTGGGTAAGCCATCACAGTTTAAATTTGTTTTGCTGGAATCTAAACGACTGAACGATCAAAGTCCAATGAAGTCGTTCACTTTCAGCTTCACAAAAAAAAACAGTTGAGAAAGAGAGAGCACCAGCCCTCCCCACAACCAAACAGTTTAAATAATTATGCTTATGTCGTGTTACAACAAAAAACAACATATTACAAATTACAGACAGAAATGCATAGAACCAGGACTAGGAGACTGCCTGTGCCAATAGCAAGACATAAAAATCTTATTTGCTTCGACTACCTTGAGTAAATTCTGTTGCTCCTGTTGACAAAATGTAGGTTTCCAGTGCACCCTTCTTTGCCACACCCATCGATATATAATATAAGCATAATCAAACCATGCCTATCTACCCTTTCCTGTATAGTATGTGACAATGTTTCGAAGAACTTTTTTCTCAGCTGACCATACTACTACTACGACAGGCAGTGATCACGTGGATTTCATACCTCTGGCTACCCAAGAAAGTTTCCATGCTGGAGACTTGAACACTTTCACAAGCAATTGTGAGATTTAAGACCCACACATCATGTGAATGGGGTAACAGAAACCCCCAAACTGCCCTCCTCATCCCCTTCCTTGCCTGGCAGCACAAAGTAGGCCTTCAGCCAATGTATCCACACTTGGGAATTTCGTTTCAAATCAGGGCTAAGCGGACAGGTCAAAACCCTCCAAAGGAAATAAATTATTCTTCCTGTCCGAGTTGAGCAGGTTTCCATATTGCAGGTGTAGAATAGAGTTCGGAAAATCCCCGGGGCGGTGCTAAGTGTTTTTAGGCCATTCCCAAAGGGGGGACATTAACATGTTGTAATGCACAGTAGAAATAGAATTGTAAATATGGACTGATTCATCAATGTCACGCTCATAACTGTGCCTGAACTGCAACAGGGAACTGCTGCTTTTTCTGTCCTAATCCATACTATCGTCATTTTTCCTCTACTTCTTTTATGTTTGTCACACTCATGTGACCTACTATTTCCGGGGTGCCTGATAGTCAATTAGACTTTGTGCTGTTGAGGCTAGGCTAGAGAGGTGAGCACAGTGGGCCTGATTCCCTGTAAGGACTTCTCTGTTGACATCCTCCCCTTGGTGCTCATATGATCTTATGCAGTTGCGAGCGCCGTATAAAAACTCTACTAAAACTAGAGTTTGGGGGGGGGGGTTATTCCTTTATGGCAGATTTCTGTAAAAACAGGTTCGGTTGAATATATTCTACGGTTGCGTCCAAAAGAAACTTGAAATTGTAATCACCCAATCATCATGTTAAAGTTAAAGCATTGAACTACCCAGTCGTGCAGCATTCCAATTTAAAGCTAAATTAACTCTGCATCATCCGACACATTGATATTTCATCTTCGTTGAGAGCCGCCCGAGATATGACCACTCAAATATGACCTTAAAAAATTAGGCTTAACAAAATTGGGAGAAATCAAAGAAAGGTAAAAGTGTGTTCACGTATATTATATATTGAGGTGCATCAATACTAATGAAATAGACAAGTATTGAATATCAAATGAATCGAAAATATTATTCTCTGCAATAAACAGCATCATCTGACCATATTTTTCAAACTGATTGAAAAACAGAGCAGTCACGAATACACGCGAGAATATACTTTTGCGTTTCTTGGATTTCACACAATTTTAGGCAAGCCTAATCTTTTTAAGGTCATTTTTCAGTAACCACATTCGGGCGACTCTCAACATAGATGAAATTAATGTGTCACAAATTGGTATGCTGCATGAGTGAGCAGTACAATGCTTTAACACGATGATTGGGCGATTTACTAGTTAGTTTCTTTAGGACGCCACTGTCTATATAATATACAAATATGTATCAAGACGTCGGGTAATCAGGTGCTCGTTATCTTTAGGGCATATGGAGTTATTGGTATCGCCTTAAAGTTTGTTTTTCTTGCTTTATTTGAAAAAACTACCCCTTTAATTTGAATAGAAGTGAAGACTTTTGCACTAGAAGGAGGTGGGGTCACCTGGTATCAGCGGTAAAATTAGCGAGAAAATGGCTGCCAAAGTTTAGTGACTTCCAACTTCCAAAGCTTGAATGTCATTGAAAAATCCACATTTACAATTTGTGTGCCTTTGATCAACATCTTGCAGTAAAATCTACGCAGAAATGTCTTTTTAAATGCACATTAAAAGTGTTGAGCCAGATAAAAATCACAGAACAGCAGAAAAATGCCAGTTTCTTTCATTTCATTATTTTGACGAGAGCCTGATTTCACCACAATGGCTCACATATATGTATCACTCATAATGACATTGCATGCATGTTTGATGAGATAGAAGGTATATATATATATGTGTGTGCGTACGTGCATGTGTCATTTCTTTGTTTATAAGAGCAAATATTATTTTTATTTTTCTAGCATTTGCGTTTGTCGCGGCCGCTATTTTTGGCATTTTTTGGTCCGCGAATCACGGCCGCGATTTTTGCATTTTTCAACCAAAAAAAAGCAACTTTCTCAGCATTATAATTTTAAGGTGTCCATGTATAGTTGTTTTCATGCAAAGAATATACGTACATTATATACTATTTATATCGCTGTTCATCTTTTATTCTTCCCTCTTTGTTGTGTTTTAATTTGTTGGTGTGTTCATTTATTTTTGTTATCGTTCTGATATGTTGTTTTTCTATTTTTTTGGTGTTTATCTAGCGTAATGTCATTTAATTTGATGTTCCTACATTTAAAAAATATATTAATGTGTTATGTTAGAGCGTGTCTCCACCAAAACCGAATACATGAACTGACACAGGCAGTAGTGGCAGGCCCCTTGTGTGTAATTCCATAAAACCTGTACTTTTTCTTGAATTACACACGTTTAGGGTTAAAACGCCCTTATTTGCTAATTTTTGTGGTTGTTTATGTACTGTTCTAATTTTGATTTCATTCTGTTGTGAAACCTTTACTTTTCACGTTTTTACACCGTATGTGGCTACAAATGATATTCTGGATGTTTAAAATAGAACATATTGAAATCCCCGTGCTTTAGATTAAGTTACCTCCATCAACACATTCATTGCTATTTATATAGCCTATAGGTAATCACAGTCGAGAGTTGAAAGCTTGAAAATTAATGGCAACTTTTATGGCAACTTTTGCCATTTTTATGGCATCTTTTGGCAACTTTTATTTTTTTAAATGGCAACTAACGCAGATGCTAGATTTTTTTCAGTTCTTATCTCCTTTTCTGATTTACGTAAAGTGCCTAGAGCTATGTGTACATGGGAGTAAGCACTTTTAAAAATGCATTTCATTATTATTATCATATAAAATGTGCATGCATAACATTTCATGTTAGTTATGTCATGTATGTTATGTATGTTATGTATGTATGTATGTAGTTATGTTATGTATGTATGTATGTAGTTATGTTATGTATGTATGTATGTAGTTATGTTATGTATGTATGTATGT